AAAATGACAAATAATTAGGAACGGAGAGAGTATGATTGTTGGGGTGTTCTAGATGGCTTTTAAGATGTCGGATGGAGTCGCTCTAAAGCAATAATTCATTTTTAGGCTTTTTTATTTTTTTTATTAAAAAATTTGATTAAAATTAAAAGGAGTTGTAGAGAATGTTTAAGTATTTATATGAAGCCTCAATGAGTTGAATGGAAGGAATGGGATGCTGACAGCTTCATCAAACGAGTAATATAATAATTGTGGACACAATTTTTCATTTCATACAGGTCTTGGCACAATGATAAAATACTTTAAATATAATATGTACAACACGGGTTTAAATCATAAAAATTATTTCTCTTGAAACACAGGTAAGGTTGCATCTCTACTCGGACCTCGTAGTGGGGGAATCTTGGGGCCTGTTTGGATTGTATCTCAAAAAATAATATTCAAAAACAGTTTTTAAGAAGAGTTTTAGAAAAGTGTTTTTGAGTCGAAGAATTTGTTTGGTTAGATAATTTTAAAAATAATTTTACAAAATAGAAAACAGTAAACACATGTTTGGATTTATGATTTCATATAAAAATATTTTAATATATTAAACTTGAAAAAATGAAAAAAAAAAAAAAAAAAAGGCAAATATGAATCACTGTTACAAGATGAAGAAGACGAACTGTTACATGACAAAGAAGACGAACCTAAAATCCAAGATCCAACATACAACCTTTGGTACACGATAGAGAAGATGAACCCAGTTGCTGGAGAAGAACCTTTTCGCCAGATAAGGCCCAAATCTGAAAAAAAATAAAACTAAAATCTAAAAAAATACCCAGATCTGAAAAAAAAAACCTAGATCTAAAGTTTTCAGTTGTCGAAGAACCCTCAGTCAACGAAGAAGATGAATTGCAGTCAACGGAGAAGATGAATTTTAATCGCCGGAGAAGACCAAGATCTAAAAAAATACCCAGATTTGAAGAAAAAAAACCTAGATCTAAAGCTCTCAGTCGTCGAAGAGCCCTTTGTCAAAGTAGAAGATGATCTTCAGTTGCTGGATAAGATTTTTCGCCGGAGAAGACGTTGGCACGCTGGTTCTGTGTGTGTGTGATTGTTCCGGAGAGAGAGAGAGAGAGAAAGACGGAGAGAGTGACGAGATCTGGGAGGACAAAGGCAAAAGAAAGAAAAAAAAGCTTTTATACTATGGCTTGCTTTTGCGTCTAAGAGAACTTGAAAAGGGAACCTCATTAAAGAGTAAACTATCTCCGTGTTCTCAAAGTTTTGGCAAACAAGCTTGAAAACAAGCCCAACTTGTTTTCTAGTTTTATGCTCTAATTCTCTAATTTTTTTCTGAAAATTGGAGAACAAAATCACAAACTAAACAAGTTTTAGGAATTAAATATGATTTTCAAATTTTACTGTGTATCCTTTATGCTAGTCTGTTGGAAGGAAAAAAGATATAATTTTCAATTTTAGTGCCCACTCATATGAATTTTTGACTTCGCCCTTGTCTTCTGATGCTTAAGTCAGTCGGTGTTTCAGTTTGGGAGAAGTGTACAGTGCATATCTATTTCAACATACATACTTTAGTTCTATTTCAATGAGGTATTTATACCTTTGATTACATCAACGTGGCACGGACTCGACTGCCAATCCTAGGCCTAACAGCCTACATCCATCGTTCGTGGTAATAAATGTCTCTCCGCCACGCCTCATTAATGCCAGATGATGATATAGTCAGAGTCAAACTTTCGGGATGGGCCGTGCATTTATTGTTTTACCCTCCAAGCATTGAGTGTTCTACAATAAAGTGTTTGCGGCATAATGCCAAACATTTAAGAATAGACCCCAAAATGTCAGGTAAATATCTTTGAGTCAGGTACTGTAAGAGCTATGTGTTGTGTTTTGGCGGTTAAGCTCGAACTCGTCATTGACAGGACAATAATTATGATATGTAGCATCAGCGCACTGCACAAAGTTCATACTCTGATGACAATTACCACTCGGCATAGACTATGCACATGTCCGTTCTTCCGTGTGTTGTATACTCTCGGTCTCTGATGTTCTTTACTTAGTCTCGGTCGATTGGAGCCCAAGCGAAGCGCTTTGTTGGCTTTAAGTTGCCATGTGTCGATTTATACCTTTGACATTAATTGATCATTTTACCATTAAATCCTAAACAATTCTATCTCCTTTTTGGCTTGAGAATTGTTGGTTACCACTTTAATATTCTGAAAAATATAAGAATGGCTATATATTCACCAAATACATGCGCTTACACGTTGATTTTATATTACAAGTTTATAAGTCGCTCACAAATTTATTTCATCCACCAAAGATATTAAAAAAATTAGGAAAAAAATGTCTGAATATACGAGAAAATACTTCACAACCCAAATTCACATGAACCATAACATTAATTTAGCCTTTTTTTAAAAAAATAAGAAGAAAATTTTATTTCCAATCACCAAAAAAATTACAAGAAGCAAAGGGGAAAACCATATACAAACCCCCTTCAAAATATGTAAAAACAACAAAACTTCTCTTAAAAAGAAAAATTCTATACAAAATCCCTATAGAGTCAATCTGTCTTAGCCATTATCATAAAAAATGAGTACATTTTTTCCTCTAACAACTGGCAACCTTCTTCGGTCCTGTAGCAGCATCAACTTTACCATTTTCGACAACAAATCAACACATGAAAAATTCGAAATGAACTGATCCTTCACAACCATGTTAGTCAAAGCATCAGCAACCCCATTCGGTATTCTATACACATGAAATAATTGTGAATCCATTTTTCCCAATTGCTCATTCATCCTTACCAGAAAACCTTGACAAGACCATGGACATGTCAAACCATTCTTTACAATGTTCACAAACACCATTGAATCCGACTCAATCACAAATTTACAATCAACTAAATCATATTGTTCAATTAAGCAATGAAGAACTGGACCCCCAAAAAAATGGACAAAAATCGAACAACAATGATGCATGACACTATTGTTCTACGTCATCAGCAATTGCCCTTCTACCCAGTTGAAACGAAAAATAAAAATAAAAAATCCCCTGCTTCGGGATTTGTAGGAAGCAGCGCTTGCTTCACACCAAAATAATGCCTAAAATTTGTAAATAATGGGTAAAAGACAAACAGGAACTGTGATAAAGAGAGGAGAGAGGAATACCTCAGCTAAAGGGAGACCAATGAGCATCGTTTACAAATGTGGAGGGACCAATTGGTAGGTGAAACGAGACAAAGGGGTAAAAACCCTAGCGTAATTACTGTACTTGGGCAATTAGGTAATTTCCTAGCTAATCCAGCCGATGGGCTTAGAAATTCCAAAGTCCAAGTGAGATTTGTGGATCTGGATCAAATGGGATAACCGCCCAATAAAGTTACGGCTTGATTATTTCAGCCCAACAATTATCCTATCCCATGTGGAGTACCCAAAGCTGGGTTTTGTGGGCTCCCAGCTAATTTTATCCAATCCAACATGTGTTATCCATCTTTATCCTTCAAAACAAACACACTTTTATAATTTTACCCTCCAAGCATCGAGTGTTCAACAATAGAATGTTTGCGACCTAATGCCAAATATTTAAGAATAAACCCCGAAATATCAGCCGAATATCCTTGAGGGGTATGTAGGTACAGTAAGGACTATGTGTTGTGTTTTGGCGGTTAAGCTCGAACCCCTCATGTACAAGACAGTAATTAAAACTCAGCCCGGTCAGGCAAATCAATCCGAAAAATAGGTCAATCGATGCCTAAGCCGGTCCTGTTCTTTAATTGGATCGATCCAACAAATAGCCCGCTCAAAAATCGTTCAAACCGGCTTAAATCGATCATTTTTCATGAACCCGTACAAATCGATCCGATTTTTACAAATCCATTTTTATATTAAAACTCAAACATAAAATATTAAAACTTAACTTCAAAATATTAAAACTTAATTTCAAGGCTCAAACATAAAATATTCAAACCAAACTTGAGAGGAACTGACATTCAGCCAGCAAGTTTTGACCACTAACAATAAGAAGTAAAGAAGTGCAGCACCTTTATAGGCAAATAGTCCTCATAACTCCACGTGAGTTTTCGACGTGGAATAGGTAGTGTACTTAAATTATCATTATTTTTTCTATCAATTTTTTTTTTTGATTTTTTAGACATCATATTATTTTTATTTATAATAAATATTTAATATTTTTTAGTAAATTATTTTATGCTCTGTCAAATTATATCAATTATGTAAACAAATTAATGATTTGAGGATATTTTTAGTGAATTATTTTTTGTCTATTTATTTTATTTACTGAAAAATGTTATTTTTGTAATTATTATAATTTTTTAGCATATTTATTATTATTATTAATTATATAATCGATTGACCAATGATTGAACCAATAATTTATTGACTCAATCCCTTTGTCGAGTTAGTGTCCGGACCAAATTTAAAAACTATGTTCATACGTCGATGACAATTACCGCTCGGCGCAGACTGTGCACATGTTCATTCTTCTTGTATACTCTCGGTCTTTAATGTTCTTTAGCTAGTCTCGGTCAATGGGGGACCAAGTGACGCACTTTGCTGGCTTTAAATAGCCATGTGTCGATTTATGATTAACTACGTCCTGTCAGTCCACAAATATAGTTTTGTATAATTGGTTAAAGCAATCCAAATGAAAACTCCAAACAAATATAATCCAAAACAATGTATAGTTTATGACTTCCCTTATTTTGCGGCACATAAAATATTAATTTTTAATTTATTGATTTGATCGATCACAAATAATAGAATAAATAATAAATTTTAATAAATATTAAAATTTATAATTAAATCAATGATAATAATTAATCAAGTTAATAAATGAAGCTAATATTTTTTTAGCTCCAGGAAACTATCATCTCTGCACGGCAATAAATAGAGTAATGCTAAACACAAATTATATATTCTGAATTGTACTGTGATCATCACCCATCTAGCCTTATATAGCTAAATACATATATACATACTATGGCACAGTCGTTGAAGGTGGCGGTGATCGGAGCCGGGGTTTCTGGGCTTGCTGTTGCTCGTGAACTTCAAAGAGAAGGCCACCGAGTCGTAGTGTATGAAACACAAAATCGACTCGGTGGAACATGGATGTATGACCCCCGAGTCGACACCGATCCACTCGGACTCGATCCTAATAGAGAGATTGTTCATAGTAGCATCTATTTCTCACTTCGCACCAACTCACCCAGACACCTTACGGGCTTCTCAGACTACCTATTTACCTCTAAGCAATATGGGGATTCTAGGAATTTTCCTGGACATGAAGAAGTGCTAAAGTTTTTGGATGACTTTGCTAAAGACTTTGGACTCGTTGAGTTGATACGGTTCAATACTGAAGTGGTCCGAGTTGAGCGGGTCGACTCGAGGAACGACGAGTGGGTTGTTGAGTCAAGAACGAGTGGACTGAGTACGGAGGACATATTTGAGGCAGTGATGGTTTGCAGTGGTCATTATACTGTACCTCGATTGGCAAATCTTTCAGGTTCGTACGTTCACCGATAATTCTTACAAAACAAAGATAGGCATGCCCCAAATAAATCAACTTTTCCATAAAATCCAACAATATTTGTGTGTGTTCGTATATGATTTAGAATTTCAATCGAGTTAAGGTTGTTGAAAGTGATCGGCTTAATTGTGATCGGCCGAGCTCGAACTCGAACTCGAGCTTGAGCCAAGCTTTACTACAGAGTTTGGAGCTATTTGTGGATAGTTTAAGGATAGGAGGTGCTTGATAGTAAAATTAAAATTATTTATACACATATTATTCCGAGTCACTCATTTTTTTGATTGGACTCATTAACAAAAGTTAATTAGGAATCACAATCTTATTCATTATATAATTTAAACAAACTTCAATGAGTTGGAACTGAGTCCAACTTGAGTTGAGTTCAAAATAATCATTTGACAATGTTAGTTGCAGTCAAAGAAAGACATTACATGATTGAGGGTTGTTGTAGATATAAGAATTAATTTCTTATGTCATCTTTTTTATTATGCTCTCGTTTGGGCTTATCAACCCTCTATACCTGCTTTCTCATTTATTATAAATGTATTATTAAGAACTACAATAATTGACTGCTCGTTGGACTAATAATCTACTAATCTAAATACAAAAATAATTGATTTCTGTTTTGTTTCCTCGTAGCTTCCCTAACCTTCGGTATTACTTCCTTGACACACTCCATTTTAAATTTAAGCTGCCTCCACTTGAAAAAGTCTAATTGACTGGCCCACCACTTACCATCCTAATCTTGGAATCTATATCCAAGTGGCAAGATTTGACCACCGGAGCTGGTACTCTAACAATAAGGCGTACTCGTTTAGGGATGTTTTTTGACTCCCACGAGGTTAGCAATCAAGGATTGATCCACAAGATTCTCATGATTTACTCAGTAGTGTTTCGGTGGTAGTGTGGTGACGGACTACTTTAGGAGGTCAATAGTTATGGCTAACCTGAACATTCTATATTGGAGAAGACTCTCATAGTCACGCCCAGGAGTCACTACCTGCTAATCGCCCCTCTCCCCCATTTTAACTTTCAAAAAAAAAAAAGTGGCAAGATTTGGATTTTAGCAAATCACATGCATGTGATCACTCTTTAAATTTCTGAAAAAGGGAAGATTTGGTGGGCATCAGATCACCATGCAGCTCCTATTCTGCTTTAAAATCCTCCTTTAAACTAACTGGTAAAGACTGACTGAAATATCTCCAAGAAATACCCGAAAATCAGCTCCCTTAATGCCTAAACCCATATCTATTATTCTGCTTTTTAATTTTGAACAATATCATGGATTTGAATTTTGAACGCTATCATAGATTTGAATTGTGTCACCACCATTTTGTCGTTGCCACCACTACCACCATCACAATTATGGTAGGAATACGATAGCTGTGGTGAGATGGTTAAAAAGATTAACAAAATTAGAAAAATAATAATTTTTATACTTTAGTTCTTTATATTTCTCAAACAGTTTAATTTAATTAAATATTTAAATTTCAGTGGATATCAAATAATTTACGAATTAAAAAATTCAATATTCAATTTTCAGTTTTATTAAACACCACATAAGAGAAACTCTTATATATTTAAGCATTGGATATCCTTTTCTCTTTTTTGTTTATTTTCTAAGCAGGCATTGAGAAATGGCCTGGAAAGCAAGTTCATAGCCACAATTATCGTGTTCCTGAACCATTTCAAGATCAGGTATGCACTCGCAGCTCCCATACTTTCTGCTGCCAACTTTCTGTTTTGTTTCCAACACTTTTTAAAGTACTCTTTTTTCCTTCTAATATAAATAATATGTACAGTAAGACATATATTTATCCGTGCTACTATAAAAACATACCAACGATGAATGATCAAGTAATCCACCTGACAGATTGTGGTAGTGATCGGAAATGGACCAAGTGGTTATGAGATTTCCTTAGAAATTGCGACAGTGGCCAAAGAAGTTCATATTTCGTCAAGATCCCCGAATGTTAAATGTTCAAAGCTGGACAACCACGAAAATATGTGGCAGCATTCCGAGGTTTTTCTTTTCTTTTATTTTCTGATAATCGTATGACTCATATCTCACATTTTCTATCTCAATTTTCAAGTTTCTCGCAACGAATTAGGCAAAAAAGTGGTTTACTTTTATATATAAACTATGTGGACATTGTCCGTTCAAAACACAACCACTGTTGAATTTTGGACAGTGTAAAACTAATTCAAGTAATTGATGAGATAGTGTGAGAAACACAATAGTTACGAGACAATATAGGATTTGTAGTCGGGTGAAAGTGTATTGTGACCTATTAATAATAGTTTTTTTTTTTTTTTTTTTTGCAGATTAACAACATCTATGAAAATGGTACAGTATGTTTTCAAGACGGAGCAGCCATTTGTGCAGATATCATTATGCATTGTACTGGGTATAATTCTCGTACCAATTTTCATTTTCATGTCCTTTTTTCCCATCGAACTCGAGCCAGAACACGAGTTCTAACAAGATTTCACAGGTACAACTACGATTTTCCATTTCTCCAAACGAATGGAATTGTAACCGTGGAGGACAATCGGGTCGGCCCGTTGTACAAGCATGTCTTCCCCCCACAGCTTGCTCCTAGACTCTGCTTCGTGGGACTTCCTTCCAGGGTCAGTCATTGTTACTCCTACAAGTATTGTTTGCATTCAATCTTTCTTGGCAAAGATATATATAAGGCACCATGAAACATAAGATTTTAACGTTTAAAAAATTGATCTCAATGTATTAAATTTAAAATTAATTTCTTTATTTACATCATTTAAAATTAATAGTGTCAACATTTTCTCAGAATAAATAACTCGATAATTTTTTATAAACATGTGTACAATATAGTCTATGAATAATGTATAAAATAACAATTGTGTTAAACTAAAAATTAACTAAATATTAAATGATTGAACATGTGACAGAATTTAGTGATGTAATTTTTTTGGAGAGAAAATATATAGGGGATAAAGATTCAACTCGCTAACTGATTTATTATATAGATATACTAGTCATAACCTGTGCCTGAAGGCACGAAATAACAAAAAATTCAAGTCCTAATATTAAATAATAATTTTTCTTTCTTTCATTTGTTTGATTAAATCATTCAAAAAATTTTTACCCATTATTTTCTTAAAGATATTGACAAAATTTTTTCACAATATGTAATTCGATAAATTTTTTTAACAGATTTATATTATCGTGTATGAATAATATCTGAAATAAAAATTATGTTAAATTAAAAATTAATCAAATATTAAATAGTTGAGAATACGATAGAAATGAGTGATGCGATAGTTTTAAGGAGGGAAAATGTATAGGGAATAAAATTCAGTTTATTGTGTGTTTTATTATAGATTTGTATAGATATAAGGGAAAATTTCATCCAGATCCGCTGTAGTTAGGTCTAAATTCAACAACACCTCCTTCCAATTTTGAAATTTCACTGTTACTCCCTATTAGTGATTGTTGGGTTACACCGTTAATAGCGATAGTTGATTTATAGAAATATCTCCGAATATTTTATAAGATAAATTTTATCCACACCCCTTTATAAATAAAACCTAACTTTAACAGCACCCCTTCTTGATTCTGAAATTTCAATACACTTCATTTTAGTTCTATTATATTAGTCTTTATTTTTATCAATTTAATATTCAATTTTATCAAATTAATTTTTTTATTTAATTTGAACTAAATTAACATTTCATCTCATCAAATTAACACAAAATTGATAGTTAATTTATCAAATTAGCAATTAGTTATATTAATTTAATATTAAGTTATTATTTATTTTTATCAAATCAACATCAAATTGAAATTCAATTTTATTAAATTAAACTATTTAATTTATTAAATAGAATATTAAATTTCATTAATTTAAAATTTAACCTTATCAAATTTATGTCATTTCTTTAATTTAACACCAAATGAACATTTAGTTTTATTAAAACAACATTCAAATTTATTCAATTAACATTAAATGCAATCAAATTAATACTAAAATAATATTTTATTTTATCAAATTAAAAATAAATTAATATTTAAATATATCAAAATTAAGATCAAATTTATTCAATTAATATTAAATTTTATTAAATAATTTTGAATTTTATATATGAAGTATGATGTGTGATGAGCGGTCGGGCGACGTTTGTGGAGGACATATGATAGCAGAGGAATTAAAAATGAATGAGATTTTGACATTGACTCTATCGATTGTAATTTTCATTATAGAAAAATTATTTTTAACTATAAAAATTATTATGATAAAAAAATATAAAAATTATAAAAACTTGATTATGTAACAAAATGAGTGATAATATGATGACTAATATTATAACAAAGTATTAATACGATGTTTTAAATTTAAAAATTTATTGAGATAATATAATGATTGAAATTATGTTTGTTGGCTGACTAACGCATATACAATGGGAAAAAAAATTGATGAAATTTTAATCTATTTACATAATAAAGATTAATTTTAGTATTTTCACAAAATATTTAGTTAAATCATTATTTTATCTAGACAAAAGTTATTGTTATTTGGGTTGTCATTGAATTTAGACTCAACTACATGTTGTTTAAATGAAACTTTCCATAAGATATAACATGTAGATATAGTATGTATTCGATCTTCGTACTATATATATGTACAGTAAATATGTGTCTATGATATGAAGAATAAAGATGGAGAACAGCTGCATTAGGATAGAATTTTGGGAAGACATGTGTCTTAGTTTGAAAAGAGAATCATGAAAAATGAGAGTGTGAGAGACAGTCAATGCCTCAATACAGAAAGTGATTCTTTAACATAGGAAATAAAATCTGAAAAAAATAATGATAAGAGTTGTAATCTGTATTTTAGGGAGAGAGACAGAGTTGAGAAATGAGAGATCATTTAATTGCCAGATTTGATTGGGTTGGGAAATTAAATTTAGGGAAGTTAGTTTTAAAAACTAAAAGTTTTGAGTGGCAAAAAGTTTTTAAGAGCTAATATGGTACATCGGATCGAAACAATCTGAGACGTGAATAGCTTGAGACAGTTTGAAATATCGTCAGCTGTTGAATGATGCCTTTTTTTATCTCGAAACTATTTGAGCCACTTTTTGTCTCTTGAATACAAAATTATTCTACTTTATTATATAGAAATATATACACACACTAGGGGAACCTGCGCAAAGCACCTTCTTTTTTTTTGGTGTGATTAAAAGGTTTATCTTGTTTAAAATATAAGTGGGTCGTTAAAATATTTATTGTGGCTAAAAAGTTAAATGTAAATAAAAAGAATTATTGTGGTTAAAATATTAAAATTTAAGTAATAATATAAGTCGTTAAATCTTAACGATCTGAATTTTTGCTGTGGTTCTCTAAGTCAGGAGTTTAAGTAATTATTAACCTTGCAGGCAATAAGGAGGAATCAAAATGTGCTTGCCCACACAATAGCATCTTTAGCTAGACGACGCCGCCTCCCTCCCAGTTGGCTTAATGCTGTCCCAGTATGTAAAAGGACTGTAATTAAGAGTGAGGAAAGAGATTGGGTAGGCTGAATTGCAATGATAGGAGAGCGACAATTTTTGATACGGTACAAAAATACGATTCAAAATTGATACGAAATTAATAGGTTAAAGTTGATTATTTCTCGACACGAACTCGTAAATGACACAATCCGTTAACACGAATAATAAATGAGTTTCAAATACGAGCAATATAAAATTTGACACAATTAACAAGTTTAATTAGTATTATAAGAATAAAATGTTAACTTTGATTATATTTTATCAAGTAGTGACATAATTATTGTTCAAAAAAAGATATTTTTATTATTATATTTATTAAGTTAATTTTTAGTTTATAGAAAAATTATGAACATATCTTCGATTATAAGTGTCAATTAAATTTTAGACTAAAATCTAAAGGTTAAATTTTTTATTCATGGGTTATATGGGTGAATACGAACACAAACACGACATGAAAATAAATAAGTCGACTCAACACGATTAGTTAAACAAGTTGGATTAAGATTGACTAGTGTTCAATACGAGCCTGAAATAACACGATACAACACAATTACCACCCTACTTTGTGGTTTGTATTTTTTTTTTCGTAAGTAAACTCCATGATTGATTAACACTGGAAATTGTGTTGGCAATAAGATTCTCTTTTTTGCCATGGCGGAATTACAATCCAAGTGGGTGGCGCGTTTATTATCCGGCAAGGCGGTTCTGCCATCGGAATCTGAGATGTTGGCTGATGTAGAAGTACACTACCGGAATATGAAGGAACGCCAGACCCCGAAGCACAATACTCATCTTATTTTACCCGTTGATGATCAGGTTTCATTTCCACATTTCTTTGGTATATAACATGACTCGAACTCATAATTATACGAATTTTAAAATGACACAATCCACTAACACGAATAAATAACGAGTCCCCCTAGTATCAAACAGGAATATTTCAAGCTTGACATGCATGGAAATACATAAGCTAACACTGTATGAAGAAAGTATATGATTTTTTTTTTATATATATATACATCTTTTGATCAAGAATTATATGAATTTCGGTTAGATTTTTAATGTCTAAGCATCTATATGTGGATTTGGGGTTCTTAAGTCACACATGTCAACTCGACTAATATAACACAACCCGAATATAACACAATCATACATGTTAGTGTAGCTAAACAGCCAGTTCTTGATTTTGTAAATTTGATGCATGGCAGTTCGAGTACTTGGACTGGCTAGCGGCTCAAGTGGAACTACCACCTGTAGATGGGAGGTTAAAAGAGATTTCTGAAGAATTTTTTAGTATTCTTATGAGTCCTCAAAGAGTTGGATTGAGGGAATGGGACGTTGACAGTTTCATCAGAGACGGCTCAAGACAATTTAATGTTTAAGAGCATTTTTAACGGAGAAGTCAAATTAAATTTGAAGGTTTATGGGACAATTTAACATATATTATATGACACAGTTTTTCATTTCATACAGGTCTTGACACAGTGATAAAATACTTTAAATATAATCTGTACATGATGGGTTTAAATCACAAAAATTATTTCTCTTGATACAGAGGTAAGGTTGCATCTCTACTCGGACCTCATAGTGGGAGAATCTTGTTTTTTTTTTCGTTTTCTGGAACTGTGGAGAGCCTTGTTCATTGGGCTACTGTTTATTTGTTTATTTTTCTTTCGCTTCATGTAATTCAAGCATGTGTTGGTTAAATGCCTGCATTCAATAAGGGGTTCAAGTCGTGATTTGAAAAGGATTTGCATCTCTCTGCTCTTTCTCATACCTCTCTCCCTTATTTTCTCTTTCTGTCCATTTTAATTTTAAATTAGTTTAATTAAATTATTTTTTAAAATATAAATATTGCACGTGCAATGCTCGATTTTTAATTTTGTAGAGTGTTTTGAGACAGTTGATATAGCTTAAAGACCATGTAGATATCAGGACCCATCATTTTATTTGTTTACTTTAGGGATCTTTAACCTTTTATTTTGTTTGTTCCAATTACGGTTATTCATAATGCAAAGATACAATCACTAACTAACATTATTCAAAATCATTACTCAAAATCTTTATATTTGTGTATATAACATGCATGGGTGATTTCCTACAATGATTTGAAATAATTATTCTTAAGATGAACTCAATCGTGAATTCTAAAACAAGGAACAATGTTCAAAAGGGTCTGTCCAGAAATACACGCAATTTATCCTCTCCGACATGGACGGAGCTAGTCATAGGTTAGAGGTGGCACTGGCCCATCTTGAAAAAAAAATTAAATTTATTACCAACACGTATAATAGATGTTTTATGAGTTAATTCACTAGTGTGCAACCATGAGTCCATAAGCCAACAATACTTAGTGGTGCCCACACCTATGATACATGAAAACTCTTTTTATTTATTCATCTTATTCACATATACCTCTTAAATCACCACACAAATCAATGGGAGTTCCAGACAGAATATGAAAACATGGGAAGAACAATTGAAGAGCAATGCCAAGATAGTAAGTGCGACTCTTTCGCAATTGCGACTCTCTGATGACTTTTTTAGAAAGAAATTAATTGTGAAGGGTTATAATTAGTCTCTTTTTTTTTTTTTGTAAAATGGATTAATTAAAATTTTTTGTAATATTTAATTACACCCAACATATATCGACTTTTGGCCACTTGGATTTAGCAAAGTTTTAGGAATTAAATATGATTTTCAAAATTTACTTTGTATCCTTTATGCTAGTCTGTTAGAAAAAAGATATAATTTTCAATTGCAGTGCCCACTCTCTTACGAATTTTTGACTTCGCCCTTGCCTTCCGATGCTTAAGTCAGTCAGTGTTTGAGTTTGGGAAAATTGTAAAGTGCAGATCTATTTCAACATACATACTTTAGTTCTATTTCAATGAGGTATTTGTATCTTTGATTACATTGACGTGGCATGCACTCGAGTGTCAATTCTAGGCCTAACAATCTACATCCATCGTTCATAGTAATAAATGTCTCTCCACCACGCCTCATTAATGTCAGATGCTGACATAGTCAGAGTCAAACTCTCGAGATGGGCCTTGCATTTATAGTTTTACCCTCCAAGCATCTAGTGTTCTACAATAAAGTGTTTGCGGCCTAATGCCAAACATTTAAGAATAGACCCCCAAAATGTCAGCTAAATATCCTTGAGGGGTATCCAGGTACAGTAAGGGCTATGTGTTGTGTGTGGTGGTTAAGCTCAAACCCGTCATGAACAGCACAGTAATTATGACCTATCACATCAGCGCACTGCACAAGGTTCATACTTCGATGACAATTACCACTCGGAACAGACTGTGCACACGTTCGTTCTTCCGTGTGGTGTATACTCTCGGTCTCTGATGTTCTTTACTCAGTCTCGATCGATTAGGGCCCAAGTGAAGCGTTTTGTTGGCTTTAAGTTGCCATGTGTCGATTTATACTTTTGACATTAATTGACCATTTTACCCTTAAATCCTATCTAATCATATCTTCTTTTTGGCTTGAGAATTATTGGTTACCACTTTAATATTGTGAAAAATATAAGAATGCTTATGTATTCACCAAATACATGCGCTTACCCGTCGATTTTATAATATCTATATAATAAAGTAACTTACAATTTAAATCTCAAAAGATAAACAAAATGACTTTTACTATTCGCGGTTGAGATCGTTTTAAATTTTACTTTAAAGTTAATCTAACGGCTAACATTAGCACCCTAAATTTAATATGAAAAGTAGGGTTTAAAAGTACAAACCTCCTTCAAAGTACTTTTAAAAATTATTTCTCATAAATACTTTAAAAAAAAATATTTGAAACCACCCCACCACTACCTCTATCACCACCGCCACCGCCACCGCCGCCACTACCACCAACACAACTACCACCTCCACCGCCGCCACCACCTCCACCATCACTGCCTCCCCATCACTGCCTTTACCACCACCACGGTCACCACCACAACCACCACCACCGTTGCCGCCTCCGCCACCACCACCACCACCTCCGTCGCCACCCCCCACCCCCATCACCACCACCCCCTCCACCACCACCACCATCATCATCATCACTACCACGGTCATTGTCACCCACCACAACCATCATTGTCTCCTACCACCATAACTGTCGTCCACCACCTTTCACCCCCACTACAAAAATCGATGCTTAAATTTCTATATTTTGTGATTTGATTTTGGATGGGAAAAACTATATACAAACCTCCTTCAAAATATGTCAAAACAACAAAACTTCTCTTTAAAAGAAAATTTATGTGAAAAATCCCTATAGAGTCAATATGTCTTAGGCTTTATCATAAAAAATTAGCACATTTTTTATTCTAGCAACTAACAACCTTCTTCGGTCTTGTAGCAACATCAACTTTATCATTTTCGACAACAAATCAACACATGAAAAATATGAAATGAACTGATCCTTCATAGCCCTATTAGCCAAAGCATCAGCTACCCCATTCGGTACTCTATACACATGAAATAATTGTGAATCCATTTTCCCCAATAGCTCATTAATCCTTACCAAAAAACCTTGACAAGACCATGAACATGCCAAACCATTCTTTACAATGTTCACAAACACCATTGAATCTCACTCAATCACAAATTTACAATCAACTACACCATATTGTTCAATTAAGCACAAGCCATCCAAATTGCGCCCTGAACTCAACGTCCATGTTCGAACATATACCATAGAAAAAACAGTCATCCAATTAACCGTTGCCTTAAACAAAAAATTACAAAAATTTAAGCCATCGTGGTTCATAGTTCAAACCGTACACGTTTATATTACTGGTTGCCTTAACCTAATCGTACAAAATAAATGCAACATATTTCAAATTGTTTGGTAAAACCATATCCACACATAAGTCGTACATCCTACATTACCACAAACGTTGTAGAGTAATTACCAAAATACCTTGTGGCACGTTCAAACCCATCATCTAAACAAACAGAAACAATGAAGCACATACAGCTAAACAAATCCATCATCTTCGTGCATTTGGTCTCAAATAGACAGAAACAATGAAGCACATAAGGCCTCATGTATTCACCAGTATGTTTCTTCTGATTCGATACATCCGAAAGGCAATATACATAAAAGCAATTTTACCATCCGAAAGACAGTAGAGTTGCTTTGGTTTTAAAAACAATAGGGATAACAGAAACAATGAAGAACTGGACCCAAAAAAAAAAAGGACAAAAATCAAACAACAACGACGCCTGACATTGTTGTTCGACGTCATCAGCAATTGCCCTTCTACCCAGTTGAAACGAAAAAAAAATCCCTTGCTTTGGGATTTGCTGGAAGCAACGCCTGCTTCACGCCAAAATAATCCCTAAAATTTGTAAATAATGGGTCAAATACATATGAGAACTAAGATAAAGAGAGAAGGGAGAGAGGAGAGAGGAATACCTCGGCTGAAGGGGCACCGGTGGGCGCTGCATACAAACGTGGAGGGGACCAGCTAGAAGGTGAAACGAAGACAAAGGGGTAAAAACCCTAGCGTAATTACTGTACACGGGCAATTAGGTAATTTCCTAGATAATCCAGTCTGTAGGCTTAGAAATTCCAAAATCCAGGTAGGATTTGTGGATCCTGATCAGATGGGATAACCACCCAATAAAGTTACGGCCGATAATTTCAGCCCAACGATTATCCTATCACATGTGGAGTACCCCAAAGCTTGGTTTTGTGGCCCCTAGCTAATTTTGTCCAATTCAACATGTGTTATCTATCTTTATCCTTTAAAACAAACACACCCTTATAATTTTACCTACCAAGCATCGAGTGTTCTACAATAGAGTGTTTGCGACCTAATGCCAAACATTTAAGAATAGACCCTGAAATGTCAACTGATATCCTTGAGGGGTATCCAAGTACAATAAAGGCTATGTGTTGTATTTTGGGGGTTAAGCTCGAACCCCTCATGGACAGGACAGTAATTATGACCTGTCGCATCAGTACACTGCACAAGGTTCATACTTCAATGACAATTACCACCGGCACAAATTGTGCACATATTCATTCTTTCGTGTATTGTATACTTCTAGTCTTTGATATTCATTACTCAATCTCAGTCGATGGGAGCCCAAGTGGCGGGCTTTGCTGGCTTTAAGTAGCCATGTGTACTGCCTACATCCTGTCAGTACACAAATATAATTTCACATAATTGGCTAAAGCAATTCAAATGAAAACTGCAAACAAATATAATCCAAAACAATGTATAGTTTACGACTTCTCTTATCTTCTCGCACAGAAAATATTATTTAGGTTTGAAATACTAACTCTTAATTTATTGAATTGATCAATCACGTATTCATAATTGTGCGTGCACGATCCTGCACAATATAAAAAATGAGAACAGATC